TGAGAACCTTCTGGAGTTTGGGTCTGTTTATTTTAAGAGGAGGGATTGAGGGATAGTGTGATGGAGGGAGGGGAGGGAGGGAGGGAGGGAGGGAGAGAGAGAGAGAGAGAGAGAGAGAGAGAGAGAGAGAGAGAGAGAGAGAGAAAGGTGATCATATCAATCCTGACTGGCATTTTTTTAAAAAATCATCATCTGGAATAGCCCAAGAGGAAATGAGTTTAAAGTAATGTAATTTACAGATATTCTTGACATTGAATACGAAGGACAAGTGATAGGATTTTCTTTAAAAACAGGTTTGACCTTGTAAAAACACTGAGCCCGGACCTGGGTGGCCAAGGCCACCCCAGCACCCTGCCCTGGAGACTCAGGTTAGGGCTGGTCCATCATTGCTTGATGGGGTCATCCCTAAAGGCCATGATGATGTCTCTCAGACACAGGCTGACTTTTTCTTCTTGGGGCCAATCGTGACCTGGGGATGGCTAGGGAGGGTGCCACCATTCGCTCAGTGAACTAAAGCTGCTGGTCCTATTTGCTTATCTTTTGATGTGTCAAGGTCAAGATTGTAAAGTCTCAGGGAAGTGCCAGGCTTGGAACTCCATTAGTGATGTGCTACCCTGCTGCTGTTACCAGCGCTCATCTGCCACCCAGGCTGTGGCATGCCGGCTCACTCTGAGGCTAGCTGGGAGATTTTGCCTCAGCTCCTTAATGAAGTGATATGTCTTAGTCATCTGCGGCAGCGTGTGGTCTCCAAAGTGAGCAGATGAACGCCCAGGCATGGAGACCATTGACTCGCCTGCATTGTTGGAAGGGCAGGCACCAGCCAGCTGGCCTTCCAGAAGAGAGCTAACAAGGCTGTGGTCATGTGACTGCAAGAGTGATGGTCTCATCTGAAAGTTTGGCATGCACTGGCTAGCCTCCAAGCTCAGTCACAGGCTTATTGTCCATGCCTCAATCCCTAACGCATGGGCCGGATGGAGGGTTTCCCCCGCACAGGGTAGCCCCTTCTCATAGGGTATGCAATGCCAAAGAGAGCAGGAGCAAGCCCCCAGGGCAGAAGTCACAGCGTTGTGTGATGGAACCTTGTATCAGATTCCACGTGTTAGGAGTGAACCCAGAGCCCAGCCCACACCCAGGGAAACCTCCAGGTGGGGGGACCATCTCAGAGGCCGCCCGCCACACCCTGATGTTTTCTTTGAGACCCTCACTCACTTCCTCCTCTTGGTAAATATCAGTCAGGTGATGCAAGGCAGCCTGGTCTGAACACAGGTGAGAATATGTTGGATTTCTCTGTGCAGAGAACAAAAGAGAATTGGTTTTCCCTCCCTCCCTCCCTCCCTCCCTCCCGTGTAGATTGTCCTAGAACTCCATCTGTAGCCCAGGCTGGCCTTGAACTCCCCATAGATCTTGCCTGACTCTGCCTCCAAAGTGCTGAGATTAAAGGTGTGAGCCACCACTGCCCAACTTGTTATTTTTTTTTTAATTTTCATACAATATATTTTGATCAGGTTTTCCCCCTCTCCCAACTCCTTCCCACCTCCCTACTCACACAGTTTTATGTTTTCTTACACACACACACACACACACACACACACACACACACACACCCCAAGACAAAGAACTAGCAAGACAAAAACAAAAGGGAACAAAAAGCCCCCCCAAACCAACATGAAGTTCATTTTGTGTTGGCCCACTCCTCCTGGGCGTGGGGCCTGCCCTGGAGCATGGTGGGTGTGTACCCTGTGACACTCCATGGTTGAAAACTGACTTCCCCTTTTCAGTAGGGATCAATTGCACATAGCTTCCGGTTAGGGGGTGGGACCTCAGATCCTCTTCCCCTCTCAGTTCTGGGACCCTGTCTGGCTTGAACAGGTATAAGCCACTGTGGGCTGTGGCTGTTAACCCTTCGCGTGCCGAGGGGAGTGGCAGGTCAGCTCCTAAACCCACCTGTGGGGATAAACTAAACCATTTTAAGGGATCCTGCACTTGGATGGTTAGGAGCCTCCTAAGGACTTTCAGAGGGAGCCTGGAAGGACAGGTATGACTCTAGGTGTAGCTAGAGTTTTTCTGATCCTGCCTGGCCCACAGTCAGGACAAATCTTTGTCACCCGCCAGTCCCGCAGCAGCTCAGACCCAACCAAGTAAACACAGAGACTTATATTGCTTACAGACTGTATGGTTGTGGCAGGCTTCTTGCTAACTGTTCTTATAGCTTAAATTAATCCATTTCCATAAATCTATACCTTGCCACGTGGCTCGTGGCTTACTGGCGTCTTCACTCTAGGGAAGGAAGAGAGGTCTAGGTGAAGGGACCCACAAGGGAAGCCACAAGTGTGGGTGCTTGAAAAGAGAAATTATAAATGGTATACCCGCTTGGTGAGTGATGTCCAGGGACCATGGTAGCCTGGGTGTGACATCTGAGGCTTCCTCACCAGAGCAGGGCTAAGTGTATACATTAGCCCTACCCCCATCCTCCAGCTCCAGCACTCAAGTCATCATGGGGTGGGTGACCTGGGTCTGGATGTTAGTGATGCTGTTCGAGCCGAGTAGAGGGATGGCATGGAGTGAGCACCCAAACCAGCTCCTTTCTCCTACAGGCTGGTACTCCAGAGGGCTACAGTCTGTGCTCTTCCACTCAGTCCCTCCCACCCGCTCCTCTGTTGGTTCAGGATTCTCCCTCTTAGTTAATTACCATCCTGGGCTTGAGATTGTCCCCTCTTTTGATGGTGGCCTCAGTCATGAAGCAGACGGCCCACAGCTTCCCAGCTCTCAGATCTCTGAGACTGCATGCCAGCCGCCAGCCGCCAGCTAGGGGAGAGGGGCCTAGCACCTCCTGCTTGTCTTGGACTCTCTGAAGGGCTCTGAGGGCACCTCATATTGAAAATGGGCCCTAATGATTCTTTTTTTTTTTACATCTCAGCCAAGATGAAATGGCACCCTACTGCAGATTTTGGCAGGCTGAGTGGACAGATGCGCCACTTTAGCCCTTCATTTACTGAGCCAGGAGTTGGGGAAGGGGGTGGGAGGAACCTGGTGTGTGCAGATGAGGAACCCAAGTAAATGGTGCTTACAAGGTGACCAAGTGAATCCTGGGTAGAGAAGGTCCCTGGCAGCTCCCAGAAGCACAGCCTTCTTGAATGCTCTCCTGAGCCGGCCCTAAAGGGTAGTTCTAAGCTAGGCATGGCAGGGCCCCTTCCCTGACCAGAACCGACTTTTCTGGCAAGCCAGTTAAGTTAGCCTGTGCTGGCCAGGAGGGAACCAAGCAGAGCTCGGCTGCCCAACTGCAGGGCTGGCCATAGCCGCCTCCCTCTCCTGCAAACACCCCCAGCCAGCGACACCTGCTCCTCACAGCTCTGCTCCTCACTAATTACCCCCCCCTCCACACACACACCCATCTGTTCCTGCCCAGGGCCCTGCACACCTGCCTGCCCCTGGAACTCTTTCAACTGGCCATACCACCCCACACCGGTCAGAGCAAGGCGTCCCATGTTCATTTTCCCAGATAGTCTAGCCTAAGGCCATCCCGGAAGCATCCAGGTCAGCCTTTCAGAACAGTGAGGGGGTGGGGTGATGAGGGGTGGGGGCGGTGGGGTGGTGAGATCCTTGCACAGGAACTCCTTTTTTTTTTTTTTTTTTTTTGTTCTGGCCATGCTGGCTCCTCAGAAGGTCTCAGCATACTTCTTAGCCACCAGACCCCTCCCCCCCCCCACTGCCCTCTGCACACCTGTCAAATCTAGAAAAGTCTGGGGCTTGCCAAGGGGAGGGAAGCGGCTGGGTTGAGGGAAATTCTATTCAGAGCCGAAGGACCTTGCACCCTGGGCTTGATAAATGATACATGGTTATTTTCCAGCCGGAGAGAGACGAGTTCTTAGAGAGTGCTTTTGTTTCGCATTTGGCCAGTGCGTTTCCCGCCCTGGCTGTGACTAATCGTGGAACAGGGTTCATTTTGTCTGCAGACTCTCCTGGGACTTTCTGGTAGGAAACTCTCCACAGCATTTTCCTGTGTGTGAGGCCTTGGGAAGCCAGAGCAGGGCCAGCACGTAAGCAAGCTGTACCACATCACAGGGTCTCTCACTTTCGATACCCACTGCCACGCCCAGGTCATCATTTTGAGCCCCGCCCTCATCTCCTTCATCACACCCGAGTTTCCTTGTGCATCTTGCTCTCACACATGGGCAGCCCCTCGGCCCGTGCACGGGGTGGGGGTGGGGGGTGACTAAGCCAATCTCCACTGTGTAGCTACTGTTTGCCTACCTCGAGGTCACAGACAGTCCGTCCCATCCATCCCCCTTTGTGCCTGGCCCAAAGGGGGTCCTTGCTAGATAACATTTGCATGGACTGGTCAGTTTGAGGTCAACGATTCCGGGAGATAAACTCTCCTGTCACCAGTGGGCGCCAAGCCTGAGCTGTTGCCTGGCTTGCTTGTCCTCTGCCGTGATCAGGCGAGGCCTGACCCAGGGGCAGGCCCCCACCAGACTTGGGTGTGTGCTACTTGTCTCAAGGAACGTGCTAGAAGTATGGCCTGCTGACCTGCTTACTTTCAACAACCATCTCGCCGATTTCAAAATGTCACCGAAGTGACCTCATTTATTCGTTTTTCATTTTTTTAAAAATTGTTTTTCAATAGAAACTTCAAGAACAAAGTGATGAGTGACAGGCTCGTGATCAGTGGCATCACTCAACTTCAGTAACTAAAAAGTTTTAATTGCATCTATTTATCGTGTGTGTGTGTGTGTGTGTGTGTGTGTGTGTGTGTGTGTGTAAAAATGTGTAGGTATTTGCAGAGGGCAGTACTGGGTTCTGCCCTCTCCTTTCCCGTGGGTCTGGGAGCTCCAACTCAGGCCACCAAACACCCTTTCCCCCTGAGCCAACATCTTGCCAGCTCTAATTTTTACTTATTTAGTAGAAATGACCAACCATGGTTAGGCCCAAAGAACTAACGGATTTAACCTTCAGGAATGGTTTCGTGTTTGGAAGCTTGTAAGGTATCAATGTAAATATCGCCTTGACCAGGCGCCACCCTGCAGAATAATGACCTCGGTCCTGAACTGGTTTCTGCCAGACCCTGGGGGTTTGCGGTTAGGGGGACAGGGGACAGTGCTGGGCACAAGTCCTAACCTGCAGGCCAGGTACTAGTTGGCACCTTCCACTGGGCAGGCTGCCGTCTTGGACCTAGAAAGGGTCTCGTTTGAAGTCTTGTAGTGAAGTGAGTTAAAAGCCAACACATTTGAGGGTTAAGATGCCCCGAGTTCCAGTGCTATTAAAAGCAGCTCCTGCTCTGGCCATCCATCCGGTCACAGGCTGTTCCATCTTAGTTGGAGATGCTAAATCCTGGCTCACAGAACGGCTGTTTTCTCTGAGAGATGGGTGATGTCCTCCCTGGCGGGGTGGGGCCCCCATGGTAATGAAATTTTCCTCCCTTATGACTCAGGAACACCCTTAATTTTCACATCTCCCCCCTCCCCCCCACCAGAAAATTTTCAGAAATTTTCAATTGTAGGATGTACTGTGTGACCTAAAAACTGGCCAAGGCAGACACTTTTGGTCGTAGATTACCCTACATACACGTTAGGTTTTCCTCCTCATGTTCACGTCTTACTTTCATAATAGTTTCCAGTCATAAATTACCCCGTGAAAGATGTGAGCGTAGCTCCTCCCCCCCCTCATCTACCCATCCCCCTCCTTAGTGTAACACGAGGATTTTATCTGGAGTGAATATTAGCGGCTGTAAATTAAGGGGCTGACCAATTTGATTTGTAACTGGCCAGCCAGAGAGTGAGCGTGTTCAGCTCCACGGACCTTGGCGGCGGCTGCGGCGTAGTCTCCACGACGACGACGTCTATGAGACGTCTACGCAGCCCCAGTGTGGCCGCTGTATCGCTGCTCCCTATTCGGGTGACTGTAAGCCCTTGGGCCGGTAAAGCTGCATGGACTGCGGCCGGCGGCAGGAAGAGGGGCCTCGGTGTGCGGACTGACCCCTACTGTTCGTGGGACAGTAAAGCGGCTCTGGGTGATGTACGACAGTGCTGGGAAGACAGACCCTTGAGTCGCCCCCGCTCCTAGATCCCACAACCCGCCAGGGCAGCCTTCTCCACTGGCTACCAAAGGCCCAATGCTGACCCACACACAGGAAGTGCACCCACGAGCGCAGCCGTGATTGGCCAGGTGAGACCGACCACCCAGCCAGCCCAGTAGCTGCCAGTAGCGTCTCTCTGGGTGGCAGCGTGGGTCATTCCGTCATTCCTGATCACTGCCACGTGTAATTTTTGCAAGATACGTTGCATAGAATCTTAAAAATAGTTTTAAGTTCCAGAGAGATGAGCTTAATTCATCGTGGAGGCTTTTGCTTTGGTGCCGTTGGTTTACATCACAGAACCTTTAAGTTGGGAGGGGAAGGAAACAGAAGATGAGGGCCAGGGGCAATGCCCCTCCCCGTCACAGGCAGGAGCTAGAGGGAACTCTGGGGTCTGAAGTCTGCAGTGTGGACACAGGGCAGTGGGCTCCCAGGGAGAACTGTGACCCCCAAAGACAGTTTGGATTCCAGTGTGACGGACACGGGAGTAGGATCTCCTCAGGAGTCCAGCAGTCTGCTCCCCTTCTGAGACTGCCAAGTCAGTCTGTGCTGAGAAGAAAAGCTGTGTGATGTGTAGGCGAGTCCTCCTCAGAAGCCTGCCTCAGGGTCCCAAAGCAGGGTAGAAATGCTGGCAGTATGAAGACGCTGAGGAGAAGACGAGGAGACGGAGGGGAGGGGCAGGGTGAAGCATCTGCTCTCCCTCCAGGCAGCTAAGGCTCAGGACCATGACTAGACAGCTGCCTCCACTGTCCACACTGCCAACTCGGGCATCGTCTCGAGAGCCAGGGAGCATCTTAGTCAATTCCACACTGAAGGGTAAGAGTACAAGGAGGAGGATGGCGGCAGGGGGTCCTGGGAGGCGGCTGAGTGGGCCAAGTGTTTGCCATGTAAGCATTGAGGACCTGGGTTTGGATTCCCCGGAACTTCCCTAAAAGTCAGACACCCAGTTGAGTGCAGTCCCACAGCTCCCACATGGAGGTGAGCGGTGGAGACAAGAGAATCCCCAGACACTCGAGGGCCAGCAAATAACAAGGAAACTCTGCCTCAAACAAGGTATAAGACAAGGGCTGATGTCTGAAGTTGTCCTCTGGCCTCCACATATGTATCATGGCACATGTACCTGCATTCATGCACATGAATGTGACTGCACGCACACACACATGGGGAGGGGGAAACAGGCAGGCAGACAGATGTGATCCAGATTGACTTCTCAGCTTCCCCGGCCCCTCGTGCCAGAGATGGGGCCCCTCAAACTCTGGTAACTTCCACTGCCGAGGGGATCTTGCCGGTCTTGCCTAAAGAACTCAGTGGCTTTGCCGATGGGTTGAGCTGTGGGATGGTGTAATACGGACTCGCCAGACCGAGCTTCAGGATGGGCTTGGTGAGCACAATAGACGTCAATAACCTAGGCGGGCTCTGGTCCATGAGCGCATCCTCAAGCCTCGATACCCTCAGCTGATAGGTGGCACTTTCACAGACCCCTGACCGTGGAGCGGTCCACCCCTGAGGGATGAGTATGATCTTGACCTTAGGTCAGTGCAGTGGGAAGGATTCCAAGTGCCAAGTCTTTGGTTTATAGCCTTTGGTATAACTGGTCCTAACTTACCCTAAGATCTCCAACAGCCATGAAGTAACTTCTGTCTCCTTCACAGACACCCTGACGTTCTTCCTCTATTTCAGAACTCCAAAGTCTTGGCCAAGAAGGAACTGGCTTATGTCCCAATCATTGGCTGGATGTGGTACTTCGTGGAAATGATCTTCTGCACACGCAACTGGGAAAAGGATCGGCAGACGGTCGCCAAGAGCCTACTGCACCTCCGGGACTACCCAGAGAACTATCTGGTATGTAGGCACAGGAGCAGTGTGCCATCTGGCTCCTAGGGCCACCACACTTAGGTGTCACTTCAGGAACATGAGTGAACACAGAACTGAGTGTGACCTGAAATTATGTATAACGAACATGAGGGCTTTAGAACTGACCTGGTTCAAGTGTGATTATGAACCTCTTTGGGACTGTGGTTGACCTCGGGGCTGTGTGACCATATCCTTTGCTTTCCAGTTCCTGATTCACTGTGAGGGCACACGGTTCACAGAGAAGAAACACCAAATCAGCATGCAGGTGGCCCAAGCCAAGGGGCTGCCCAGCCTCAAGCACCATCTCCTGCCACGCACCAAGGGCTTTGCAATCACTGTGAAGTGCCTGCGAGATGTAGGTAAGGATGATAGAGAAATGGGGGTCTTCGAGGCTAGGTGGACCCTGGGACAAGGGGCAGGTGCAAGTCTGGCTGGGCCCCTTAGGTTTCTGTATCCAGTGAGTGCTTCCCTCTACTGGTCAGTGGTGTTACTGCATGGTAAATGAAGCAAGCACTGGGTCTCTGGAGGGCCCCTGTGATGGCCTGATCACGGAGCTATAGGGTGGCATTTCTTGCTTGTCCATTACTATCAACCACCTGCAGATGATCTGACCTGTACACTATGGCAGCTGACCTGTGAGTCCTGAGCCTCAGGCCACTGTAGATAAACACAGAAGCAAGCAGTGGTCACTTGTCCCTGGAGTCCATTTCTTTTTAAACCCTCATCTTCAATACAGAACATGTTGTTCTGCTAGATAACGCCTTTCTCTCCCATCTGTACTCCCTGGTCCCAGGGCTCCAGAGAGGCTAGACGGCGTACTTGGGCCAGATAGGACTTAACACAGCTTTAAGTGTGAGGGCACCACAGCCTTGGGCAGGCCTTCCTCCAACTTCATGTGCCAGGCTTTGCCCTGCAGGCAGTGGTGGGCAAAGCTGTTACCAGAGCCGGGTTGGAGGTGGATTCTGGTCCCATACGCACCACACTTCCATAGCCTGGTCTTTACTTACCTCTTCTTGTGAGGGAGACTTCCTTAGCCCCATGTCAAGGAGTTAGCCAGGTCACCAAGGACGTAAACAGGTTAAATATCTTCTGGCCTAGTGCCCACCTTAGCCAACAATGCCCACCTATGACAAGGAGAGTGGTTAGGTCCTTCGGTCCTTCAGGGCACTGCCTCTAGGCATCCCTGCAAGTCAACAGGGGGACTTCTCCCATCAGCAAAGACAGTGGACCTACAGACCTGGGTCAGACATCAGAAAATGGATGGTGATTTTGATCACCTTTGAATCCTTGTTCTTCATATTCCCAAGTGGTCCAGGTACCGTTGAGGGTCCCTGTGATCCCCCACACAACTTTTACTAACAGTCACTGTATATATGGAAAGCTCTCGGCTCAGGGTCAAGATCATAGCGTGGGTATAGCGTGTTGGGTCTGTAGTTATGACCTCCGCTGCTGTGTGTGTGATGGCAGCTACGTGAGGCCACTCTCCAGGAGAACACCTAGGTTGGTTGGAAGACTGAGTGAGGTGTCTAAGCCAACCACCCACTGCTGGGAAGAAGTGGTCATGGGCGCCAGCCACACCCAGCCACACTCTGGGACTCCTCTACTTTCTCCGCTGCCTTGTGCATGAAGCGGCGGCCATCTGTTTCGGCCATGACTTTCCATCTTAGTCACTTGCTTCTTTGTCATTCATTGACCCAATAAGCATTTCTTGAGCCTGAGCCGGGTCCCAGGGCATCGCACAACAAGCGTGGATGGAATATGCTGACAGGATAGCTTACTGTCCAGGATGTAGACGTCATATCCTGGCTTTGCGCTTGCTTCATGGGAGGTGGGGGGGAGACACAAACATGTTCACAGAAAAGGCCACACTGGGGCTGGAGAGATGGCTCAGCAGGGACTGGAATTGCAGAGGACTGGAATTCAGTTCCCATCACTGTCTTCTGGTGACTCACAACTGCCTGTAAACCCAGCAGCAGGGGATCTGTCGCCCTCTTCTGGCCTCATGGGCACACAGAACCACATGTATGCATCCACATAGTTAAGTAAATTTTTAATAAATTCAACATTTATAAAATAAAGGATGTAACGTTCTGTAACAGACACAGCCTTAGATGAGGCTAATTCGTGTCCTACCACCCGTATTTGTTCAAATATCTACATTTGCTGACCACGAGAGGCTCTGCCTACTAGAAAGTCATTACTGTCAAATCTAGATCTGATAGACATTGCTGCTTTAAAGCCCACGTGACCGCAGGAGTGACTGTTTGTATGACTAGTTTACAGTTGGCTTTCTGGTGACAAAAGATGACACATACCCAATGGAGAGCACGTGAACAATCTAGGAAAACCCCAGGCCGAGAGCTCTAGTCCCCTGAGTCGTCGGTGGATGGGTTACGGTGTGCTTATGTCTTCCAGTGTGTGTGACTACCGAGCAGAACCGGCCTCACCCGCTATGTACTGCCTTGTGTTTGTCTTGTCTTATAGTCCCAGCTGTATATGACTGTACACTCAATTTCAGAAACAATGAAAACCCAACCCTGCTGGGAGTCTTAAATGGAAAGAAATATCATGCCGACTGCTACGTTAGGTAAGTTGGCCCTGTTTCCCTCCCAGAAAAGGGGGAGCTTGTCTCTTAGTACTAAATCACTACATGCCGCTTTCCAGAAGCACCTGGCTAGCATCTCGCAGGAAGTCACCTTCCCATTCAGCTTCCATCCAGTCTTTGATGTATATATGAACTCAGGAGGCACATTGTCTGCTAAGACCACTGTGGGAAGCATGCCTTTCTGATCTGCTCACGTGCTCACTCCTCTCAGAGCTCAAGGTAGACAGACAGAAGACCAGTGTCACACAAAGCACCTAACTCCTGATCTCCAGCATGTCACCAAGATCAGTGGAACCCCAAAGGGAAGATGTAGCAGACAGGAAGCCACAGGGCAGCTTGTTCAGTAAACCAGTGACTTACGCACTAAAATCCAGTCTGAGTTGGGTTAGGTAGCACTGGTTTCTGATACTGTGGCCATCCTTGAAGGCCATCCAAGAGCCCCTGAAATGTCCACACACAAGTAGACAAATGGTACGGAGCTTTCTGGGTAAAGACCCTTCGGATGCCAGCTCCCAGCACATG